ATTTCTATTAGTCTGTCTATTTACGGTTTTTATAGCTTGAACTTGTAGTAGACAAAATTTGTACCTCATAATTGCTCTCCAAAAGGTAGTGGTCAATGTTATTGATGTAAATTGTAACTTTCTGATTCGAATGATTTAAAAGGGTAAGTCATGTGAAAAGTAAAAAAAGACTACAAATACATTCCAACACATAATTGTATTTTGACTGCTGTGTAATGGCTGCAAATAAGCATGGTTTCGTATTAATTTGATTTGTCAGATAGGTGAACGGTTATTTATTTGGATAGGATTTAAAAAGATCAGCATGATTTTCCACTAAGCGACTGAACAGTTCTGGTTATTACTAGTAAGTTGACGACGTTGACTTTACGCTCCCTGAAAATTAAAGATCATGTTGCAAGAATATAATCATTTGAAATTAAGATAACATTTCAGTCGAATTATTTGTTAGGATTTCATGCAAAGATCTGATTGCTAAATAAAAATTCTCTTCTACAGGAATGTTAGGCATTCGCTTTGAATATAACTTAAGCCACAACATGTATATATAATTTTTAAAACACTATAATATTACAGATGCATTTGAAAAGTTTATCAGAAATATTGTTTCAAAGTTTGGATGAGACCACCTAGGGACTTCGAATGTCGTTGTGTATTTCTCCTACTGAAATTACTTGAATTTGTTTAGTGCTTCAACAGTACTTTGATTAAAAGCATTGGTTTTATCAAGGGCTTACTAATTTAGAGACAGACTCATACAGTGAATAAGCGTAAAGTTTTTGAATATTACTTAAATCAAGCAGCTTCACTTCAATTTACGCCATAGAAAGTTGAAAAAATAACAGTGAACCCTTGCCTTATATAACCAAATGAGATTTCAATTACTTTGTGTATCAGTGCAAGATGTAAACATAAAGATGACTGTTGTGGATATTATTTGCAAAATAATCATCGAAATATATTGTCAAGTTTGTTTGTTGTTTTATGTTGTAAAACTTCCCAGTACCAGATTCATTTATAAAAGACTTAACGAGTTTTTTTATTCATCGGCTAGGAAAATGTCTATAAAACAAAAATCACACTTAACTGTAGAAGCAACAAACGAGTGTGTTAGCAATAAATAATCATCAACGTATAATGAAAAGGGTGAAATTTGAAGGTAACCTAATCATCAGAAAAAAGTAGATTTCTCTCACCGTTATTGCATTATTGGATATATTGGTTGAAGATAAAAAATATAGAAGACTTTTAGTTAAAAAAGTACAATATAGAACTAAAATTACATTCATTGAGTGTTATGACTCTAATAAAGTTTGGTGTCTAGCTCACAAATGAAGCGAATTTATTGTCTACAATTGAAATGATTTTCAGTTCAATACAGTTCTGACATAGTATTCATTATTTTTGGTTTGATTTTTTCATAATTGTTTCTCATGGAGTTTTACTGCCCTGTCATTAATAATATTTTATGACAACGCGATGCTGATAAAAACCTTTTTATTGGCGCCAATAAATTTTCAATTAAAACAGTTTCTTTCAATAAAATTAATTTCCTTCTTTTTAGTGAATCAATATTTTGACTAGTGTGTCTTTTAAAACAAACAAAGGAAAGGTTGAAAATATATTAGAAATATCAAGATATTACTCACTCGTTAGTTTCATTTAAGAAATGTCGACAGTTGCTAGTTACTCAATGATTTCACCAACGTTTAGGCCAACTTCAAATTATTGTCCATGGCCCGTTATAACAAGTGTATTGAAACTTGACTAACAGATTCACAAATGAATAAAGGACTATAGTCCCTCATTCTTAACTACTAAGGTGTAAACATCCCAAATATAGAACATTAGAATAATTCAGTTAGTTGAGTTTTGAAGTGATTCGTCAACTCTGAGAAATTCTATGTGGTTGTCGTAAAATTTAACTCGTTTCAGAAGAACATTTTAGAACATTTCATACATGGTGTTTATCAGAGAAGCAAATCATTCCGCAAAATAAAAGCTAGGTAATTGTAGATAGCCAACATCGGTGATCCGTGTCAATGATTGAGAGCCTATTCGAAATGAATAGAAATGGCATGACCAACCAGCTTACTCAAAGTCACACTTCACGATTAGTAACTAACTTGAATTACCGTTTTACCGTATCGCAGTACTATGATTGCTTTGATGACCGTACGACACAACTAACATTATAATAGAAGTATATCAGCAAGAGCAGATACATGAAATAGAGTGAGACCGCTGACACATATGTCACTTCATGGTATGTAAAATTGATTGATGTGCGTCAGCTATCCTCAACCTGTTCGATATTCAGTGATCTGACTGCAGGATGAATTGGCTAGTGTCATGACATTTCATTAGATTTACATAGTTTTTTCGAAGCATCTTTCTTTGACAGTAGTCATACAATCAAATATTTACTCATCTGAAAACAATTTGTTTGAATATAAGACCTGGATAAGTCAAATAAGGATTGATTCATTTATTTTACGTTCCGGTAATAACGTGATTTTCACAAAGATATATTTATCATTCACTAGGATTTATCTAAAATCTTTCATTGAAGAAAAGCTTTTATTATTTAAATATTAAAAAGCGAGTTTGTGAGGTTTATTGCCTATCCGTTGTATTTGTACACATGAAATGAAACGGGTCATGCCGAAACTATCATTAGCCTTTAAAATCAGTGATAATGTAGTAAAAGTGTATCTTAATCATTGAATAGGAGCTTTAACCATCATGAGCTATTTTTAGTTCGTAGATTTGAAACATTTCAGCTATGAGTTTCCATTTTTACTAAAACACCTTACAAAATTTGAGTTATCTATAAACAATTGTTTATTGAAGAAATAAGTCTGCTGAATTTGTAAGCTACTAATTCAAAATCATTTTCTTTGGTTCGGTGGTCTACCCACATCACACTTGAATCACATATGATGAGTAAACATCGTTGAATAATGCAGAAATATGTAAACAAAGGAGGTAAATTAATGCGGTTCAAATATAAACGTAAAATGAATATACATTGATTAGTTTAGTAAGAAACATATGTAAATGTCATGTAATAACCAAAACGTTTAGTGGTAAATAAACAGAGTGGAGTTGGTTTGATGAAGTTAGATTAAATTATTATTAAATTTTTTGGCATAATAATCTAGTTACCTCTATGGATAACATTTAAAATAATGCCCGAAAAGTAATTGGGTTTGTGTTGATGAAAGCTGTATTGAAATTTGTTATATAGAAAACGTAATTGAAACTATTTGCATAAATATTCTATTCATGATTCCTATAAATAAATTCGACTTAATTGTGTTATTTAAAAGCGAACAAGATATGATAATTCTAAAAGGGATATTTTTGATTTAGCTACTAATCCTATTCATTATCATATGGATTAGTGTTTTGAGGAAAAGTTGAATCGAGAGTAAAAATTGTGATTAGGTAATGAAAATCTTGTTCATCTGTGATTCGTCAATTACAACTACCATGAAATATATACATTTATATACGTATTCAAAGACTGAAAGAATGATTATTCTTTCTTTCTTCACTATAAAACTAAAGTCTTAATTCCGTGATATTTGATAATGACGGTTTTGTAGGTCATTATCACGATAGTATATTTTACTAATAGTTCATACTATTGACTGTTGATATGTCAGAATTTATAGAAGAATATTCCTTCATAACCAATAACCATAATAAATCTTGAAATTGAGAATGTTTTCATTCGTTTATATTAAGTATTAAAAAGCCACTTAATATAATAAATTTGAAAATTCCCATCAGTCTCTAAGTAAATAGGTTCAGTGGTTTGTTTATTTTTTATTTTTTAAATGCTATCGAAATTTGAAGCAAATGAAAAAATGACTAAACTTAGAAGACATGATAGGCTTTTCCACTTTCGATCAGAAAATGATAACGTTGCATGACTTGAAAGGTTTGGATCTCTTGTTACGGACTTTATGTCAAATTAATAAATCGATAAATGTTTGTCTTTTTGAAAAAATTTATTCATTTTAAAGTAACCCGAAAGTTGGACACACAAATCACTGAATTCCAACTCAGTAGTATGTGTCCTGGTTTCCGAACGATTCATGATATTAACTTATATGAACGTATATGAATGCTAACGAAAATGTAAAGATTAAGCAACTGTAAAATGCTTACTGGTTTTCAATGGTCCTTTAACTATTTTCAATTCTAAGTTTCAATTATTTGTGAAATGCAGTTCGAATCCTTTATCACTTTGTAAAGTTAGTGAATACTAAGAGTGAAAAGACCAGTAGCAATCGACTGACGTATTGACAGACAGGACTAGAAACACATCTGTATAAACGTACATTAGTACTTTGGTCCTTTTAACGTAATGTTTAGACTTAGTGATTTGATATTACTATTGAATCTTAGAGTTCTCTTTAATGCATTAAATGATGTTCCTGTATATTTAATAATTACAGTTTTGCTTTCCTAGTTCCTTACGTACCACTAAGATGAATAATAAGACATTTTCAAATCTATGTACTCTAAAAGAAGCTCGCTTATCATCTTCTTTTAACTTGGTTAGCTTTAGACCGAATAAGCCAATAATTATCCCATTTATAGGATGGGTGAATTCGACTAATGTAAATACAAACATATTTTCATGGATTCAATTGATTTGATCTAATTGTTATTGTATGTTGCCTTAAACATATGAACAATTTATTTTATGTTTACCCCATCCTACTTAATTCATATTATTTCATAATTTACGTAATAGTTGGGCAAATAATTGATTGTGTTCGTAATTAATATATGTTTTCTATCCCATCACGTAATTTACATTCATCCAAATTTTTAATCTCAGAATTGTAATCGACTTACAATCGTATACAATATTTACAAACGCTTACTAACATAATTATTTTAATATCAACCCTTAAATCATTTAAGAGGTGAATTAATTTTAAATTTGAATGTTTCATTTTGATCAATAATTTGAGTTTGTTACTGTAGAACCTAGTGAGAATTTATTCAAGGGAAACTATTCGTTCTTTTTATTATTAAGAAATTATTTAAAATGAAAATAATAGTAGTAATCAAATTTGAACCCTAATGCATCATGAAAAACTACACTTTCTGACAGATAAACCACTTTTGGCTAAATTTTGATTAATTCTCATCAAAGTTAATATTGACGAAGTTCTGTAATTCGTTGAATAATATCTGTTTATAGTATAAATTGTATGTGATATTTGATCTAGTCATTCTGTGCTATTTACAAACTTCATTTGGAGAAATGAAACTATACTTTATTTGTTTATATTCACTTTATATAATTCGTAGTTCTGAATTGAACGAATCAATTCAACTATTTTTTCAAAATCCAACATTACAAAAAAGGTTACATAAGTTGAATAAAATTATTACTAACATTTTATATGAAACTGAAAGGGATTTTCCAATTAAAACTTTTTGCTTTCTTAAACGTAACGTTGATAATTTCAAGCCTTAGAGTGATTCAGATTTCCAATGAATTAAGGCATAAATTAAACAATGTTCAAAACATTTTTAAAAGTCGCGCGTCAACTAATTTCTTTTCAAATTGAAATTATTTCTGTTGGTTTATTTGCCATAGTTCAGAATCTCCATTCATATTAGTCGTCCCAACGTTGAAATTTGATCGAACTACAGGTTGTGGCATCGTAAAACGCTTAATATCAGTTTCATTATGTATATATGGGTGATGTTGTTGTAATTGTTGATGTGACTGGATGTTATATACAAGATGGTGCTGTTGTTGACGCGCGTTGTAGGTTTGAGGCTGTGGATCACTTGATATTCCTGCAGATATATCACTTTGATCAAATGAACTAGGACATTGTAGACTTGCACTTTTCTGATCTGTTCGATAAGTTCCTTCTTGATTTTGCTGATTCTGCTGTTCATAAGTAAAAGGTCTGGATTCGGAAATTAACAATTGGTCTCTAGATGTATCTTGTCCAATTTTTGAATTGATTCCACTCATATGAATATTCTTACTGACATTAGTATTATTATTTAGCTTTATATTGTTATTATGATTTTCGCTGAAACCGAATGAATTTGGCGAATTATTTATTGCGCTTAAATTATTTGGTACAGATGATATAAGTCGATTACTTGAACGGGATCTAGATAATTTAGGAATGTCTGATCTTAATCGACGTGATGTCGTTAAACATCGTGTAGCGAATTTCAACTCTTTCCACATTCCACGCCAAACAGCTGTCTAAAATTGAAAATGAAAGTTTATTAGTCTATGACTAATAGGGTTGATTTTTAAAGTAGCATCTGAACAATACAATTAGAGCTTATGATTATTTGTGCATATTTCAGTTTGATATTGTTGGGAGTCACGAAACACTAGGCTGACTTTCTATCATTTGGTCCATGAAAGAATTACAACTCCATACACTGGATTGTGTACAATCACAGAATATCTGCTATTTTTATTCCTTTTATTTTCATTTTAATCAAACGTAAACCTTCAAATATCTATACTTACATTTAGAAAATGTATCCCAAGATTTTCCTGGATTCTCATTCTATACGGATGACATCGTCATCATATCAAAATAAAGATTTCAATTAATACAGTAATTTCTATGAGAAAATGCCTTTTGATTATTTTCGTATCGAAATTTTAGTAGTCTCACTTGCGAACGTACCTAGATTATGCTTTATGGAGAAATAAGAGATGGTATAGTACACCGCTATGGAAATCCTAAGACAGAATTAACTAGTAAATGCTTTGTATAAATATTTCAGGACTCTATTACAACACAAATCTATGGATTACCTTTTGCTGATCTCTTGTTGCTACCAAAAATTCAATAATCGATACGGCGAATCCCATAAAAAATCCAATCAGTAAGACAATAAATACACCACCAACTTGTTCTACACCCAATGGACTTGGGGCTTTACCTGATTCACGTAATAAAGAACATGGTTCCGTGATATTAAATTCATTCCACCAAATACGTTTTAACTTTGCCAGAATTTGAGCATTCTGTAATTTTAAAATTGATTTCGATACGGGATCCCTCCATGGTGAACCTTAATATTATAGTTAACCAAATGCGTAAAAGCAGATGATGAATATGTAATAGAAAAAATCAAAGCTCATTTTGGTTAATTCAAATTGGGCGAAGTATGGTAAACTGAGTATTTTCATTTCTTCAGCTGGATTGCACTTATTATACAACAGTCGTAGTGGTGGGAAAAGAACAAACATCCTATAGATGTGTTGATAAACAACTTCAAAACATTGATCTTTCGACTTATCTTGATGGAATTATAAAAATAGTGCTCAGATATGGAGTTTGTGAGAAAATGAAGTTGTGATTAACGATTTGTGAACCAATAACACGCTGTAATTTAAAACTTTAGGTAGCATTCTTTTGTAATTAGAACTAATATACATATATATCTTATATCACCTCAAAACTCTATTAGGATGTTTCTTAATGTTAACTCTCATTATCGTTGTCTCATCCGTTTTATTTATTATTAAGGTTCCATAAAATTCCTTTACAACACTTTCTAAACCTCTTTTTTCATCAGTTAGTCTTAAAGGTTGTTTGTAAATTAGCTATGATGATTTCATACTTTCTGAAATGGACAGATATTTTATTGAAAACGTTTTCCGTTTCCTAAATCATGAAAACTTAGTCATGATTGTTTAGAATTTCTTTTATACGGGTTCCACAAAGAGATGATAAAGATATAGCACATTTGACCACCTATGGAATCAAATCTTCGGTATGATTACCACATTCCACCATATTTGCACAAAGTTTGAAATGAAAATATTTTTAATAGCTTCGTACCAAACTATCTATGCACAAGGATTCTCATATAGTACATCATTGTAAAATAGTTTCATTTACTTATGCGTAAAAAAAGAAGTGTTTGCAGACTATTGCGGTTGTAAATGAAAAAAGAGCAAAAACATAACAATATCAAAAATGAATCTCAAAGATCATGTTTTCAAATGAAAATATAATCAGCACGTATTTGATCGCACTATAGTATAGAAATATCCAAAGATTCATAATAGAACCACATCGTTCTAATCTGAAACGTTCATGATAATGCTGGAACTCACTAGGCTGTGTGGTCTTTAGGCGTTTGCTTAAAATATCATGTGACATCAAAACTAGCTTAACACGACTACTCATTTGTATACCAGTAGTCATTGTTCCTTATAGCCAGTGTTAAAAAACCATACTTTGTATAGGAAGCAGGTGAGATATCAGGAGTAAAGGGACTCAAACCAATCAACAGTTTACTTATGTCAGATATTGATTCAGTGTAAGTATGTTGAATTCTCAATCTCAGGACTCAATGGTAGCTATGATCGAATAACGTTTGTAGGACTGAAAGAAACATATTTCACTATTAGATTATAATAGCACAAAAAGTGTCCTGCAAATTTTTAAAGTGATATTTAAGAAAACTGTCAGTACTTAAATTTCTGAAAAGTAACTTCAAAGCGATTTTGTTCGAAACCGTCTGAAGATATCTTGATGGCTGAAAAATATCACTAACATCGATCCGTAAAATTGATGATAGAATTCAAACACTTATAGAGATTGATGTCGTTACTAATGTACTAAGAATTCGAAAATTTCTTCTTCGGCATTACTTTTACCGAGTTTGACATAATCTGTGTAGCGTCGTTTAAACTGAAACTTTTGAAAATATGATCAAAAATAACATTTCAAGTATCTCTACACATTAAATCTATTTCAATCTCCCGTTGGTCTATTTTTCAAATGACAAAAAGCAATGTAAACAAAACATTCCAGAACACTTACCTTGTGGAAATCCGATCCCATAACCTTTAGAATCAAGCAATGTTCCAACTTGAGTTAGACGACAATCTCTCTGAGCATAATATTCATTCCAGGTTGATTCTAAAATGAAGGCATAATTACCTTGTAGAACACGTTCAATTCCCTCTTGAGTGGTTGATACAGTAGCATCTGGATATTTGTCCATGAATTCACCCATTTTCTTAAACGTTGGTAAAGATGAGGTCTATTGATGAAAACAATATAATATACAAACTGACTTACTAGATAGATATTTCTCAAAGGAAGTGATAAAATAAGGCGAATATCATGTAGGCGTTGGGAGCATTTTAAACTAGAGTAGTGGAAGAAGCACTCGCCTCAAACCTATCATGTTTTAAAACAGCACAACTGTGATTAATAATTACTAGGTAGTGATAAAGGCTCAAATTTTGAAGCTGAGTAATGAAGATTCCCATAAGACTGCAGGTAAACCTTTCGTACCAACTAGTGTGAAACCCACGTTCAAGGTACTCTGCCGACTTACCCTCATAATTATTACAAAATATCACAATTCTAGTTATTCGAAAGTTAACGAAAAATTAAAACAAATAAACTATTGGAAAGTTCCGAATATATTTATGTGATAACATAATCATCTATAAATTAACAGTGTATTCTCAAACATCTAACTGTAAATGAATTTTAAGAACTGGTTTTTCTAAATATCACATGACTAACAACGCTTAAGCATTGACTCTAAGACCTGATAATTCTGGACACAGTCGTAGGTACATACTTCCTAGATGCTCTGCACTATGACAGAACAACTATCCATCGCTACCTGGATTTCAGTGATACAACAACTGAGGTTACTATGTGAAGAGCTACACTAAAAAATTAAATGAATCTCTACAAAACACTAAGAAATATATTAAATTTTAATGGTTTTAGCGTTGTTTAGCGTGCAACTTGTTTATCTCAATTGTTCAACTTTCAGAACACGTCCACTACAACAGCTAAGAACTAAAATATAACTATGAAAAGGAGCATTTCAAAACATCATGTTACATCCAAATTCACTACCATATAAAATTATGTAAGAACCTATTATATGTATCATTTACTGTTTATGCATTCTTACAAAACGCAATCAATATCTGTCCTTTCTAGTCAGATAGTAGCAAATTATAGCTTACTCTGAAAAAATCACGGCTTGATCCACTTTTCAAGGTTCCGTATTTAATTTTTTCTTGATTAGCTAAATCTTCAGCGCTTTCAATCGGTGATTTCATATTTTCAACTGTCAAAAATGCAGCTAAATTAGCTGTGTATGTAGCAATAATAATCAAGGCGAAAAACCACCAAACTCCTGTTAACAATCGTGTTGAAGTAGCGTGTGGTGCAAGTTCAGTTCCTAGATTTTAAACAAAAAGAGTAACTTGAATGAAACCCACATCATTGAACATAGAGATAACATATGACATTTTTACACACTCAACATAAAGAAGAAGGAAAAATACTGAAGATTTTAAAAATGCATAATACTTTGAGAAAATTTGAGATTAGCTGTGTCGCATTTGTTTCGGATCCTTGCTTATAAAGGAATAAATTTTAACAATATGATCTGACCTCTATACTATACTAATGTATGAGTAAGCAAAATTTGGATAAACCTCAAAAAAGCTACCTTTCAGTTATGTAAGATGTGAGACTATGGTTTAAATACCGTTGCAGACCAAGAAACACTGAATAGCATTTTATTCAAGCACAGGACTTTTGAGTAGTGCACGTCCATGATCAACGAGAGATCGAACATAAGACCTTCGGACCATCAAGTTGGTTCGACAAGGAAATGTGAAAAATATCACCGACGGAAATGAATAATGGTTGTGCATAATCAAAAACTGACTGACGTTGGGGCTGCGAATTTTTTGATTGCAACTCAGTGATGTGAAGGTTTAGTGCCCAAGGTTCTGTGTTCGACACCTTGTTGGTTATGGATATGACTTGACTAGAAGTTTTTACTAGTGTGAGGCAGGCGTCTAATGCTAACTCGCTTTCAATGGTTGTATAACGACATTCATTCAGTAATATGAAACTTCACATTTGAAAACCTCCACAACACCTTATAAAGTAAGATTTTATTTCCACAGTAATTTTCATCGTTAGTGGGGAAAATAAGAATGATAAATTTAATCGCAAAACTACCACATTTTTATGCAAGTATAATATAATGCAAAAATTTAATTTACTTTTACGTTAAACAGGTTTTTAAACAATCATTGAAGGTAATGATGGTTTTTATAACTCGGATAACTTATTGATAAAATCATGAGAGAATGCAACAACGGTAAGCGTTTATCATATTCCAGTGGTCTAAAAACTTTAAGGTTCTTAAACTTATCAAATAATTCATTTTGCTTATGATAAATACACTAAAACATTGAAAAAGATACTAAAATTCGCGTATAGAATTACATAGCTACTAGACAATTAAGTGGCGGTTTATTTATAAGAATGTATTCACGCTAAGGTTTAGTTTTAGTAAATCTTAATAAAAGACATATTTAATGACATTAAACCTCAAACCATGAAATGGACACGTTTACCAAGTAACGTAAATACAGAAGGTCAACAGTGGGTAATGTTTATTTGAGTGGTATGTACAGATTAGTTCAAATCTGCAGTTGGCTCTAATCACGGGACGAAATTATTTACTGGTAAAATATTACACAACCTCGTATTAGTTGCAATTGATTTGAAGCTACTTTTTGACATCAATAAGATGATTAATATTCCATCATTGGATTACAGTACACTAAATCAATATTGTTGAAAATGACAGTAATCAACTTTCGTTTATCACGTAACTGTTAAACTTCTTGGTTCGCCAAATGGAGAATTCCAAATGAATTTGTTTCATGTTGAAACATTTAAATCTTTGTTTTTATCACCAACTTACAAATGGAAAAAACAAAATTATTGTAAGATAAAACCTGATACCTTGATTCAGTAAAGCAGATACATTATAATAGAAGCTGTTTAATAGTGTGAATTGATTTTTTCTTGTATCGCCACCTTCTTCACAAGGATGTGTTGCCGTCCATTCATGTGGAGAAAGACGGGCAGCAACAAATAAGCACAAACACACAGCTAAATATGTGAAACCCACGTACAACCATACCTGAAAATCAACAAAATTTCGGTGATGCAAAATGGTTGGGGTTAATGTTGAAGTATACTAAAACGAATATATTTCTAGTAGAAAGATCGTGGTATTCAGTTCTACATAAATTAAGAATGTTTACAACTACAATACTGTACGTGAAATATATTGGCAAACAGAGTTTTAAAGGTAAATAAACATGATAATTACTATCATGCAATAGAGTAGTAGATAAGATGCTAGTTTATCGATACAGTACTTTATTTTATGTCCCATGTTTTGTAAACAACAGCTGGAATGGTTGATACGAACTCTAAATAAGTATCCCCACCCAGTGAATTCGTATTGATCAATTTTAAATAGTTAGGCAGTAGGTCATTGATTTGTTAAGCTTCATATTTTTCTGTTGTTGACATTTTAGACTATAAATGATCAATTTGCACTAAAATATCTGCATCCCGAGTCAAATATCTCAGTGTTTAAATGTAGTCCGAAAATTAGGTCAAGTTGGAGTGAGAACTAATAATTTTGGTCTTGAAAGTCAATACTGTGTAAATTAAAACCCTCGTGAATAATTTTATGCCCATTAAACAAGTTAGCGGCTATTTGGATTCATTCGGTTAATCTTTGTCTTAAGTGACAGGTACTCAGTTCGAATCCTACTGTGTACACCAACAGTGGGATTTAGACACACCTAGGTGACAAGTATCAACTGAGACAAAACTTTAGTTAATGAACACCTTTGTTTTTTAAAAGACACAGAAATAAATTTACTATAAATTAAGATTACATTTAATAAATTGTTCGAGCCAGTAAACTAGCTTACTTGTGGTGAAAGTGGTTGAAGAAATGAAAACAATGATGGTTTCTGACTTTTTGGTCTTGTAAATAAAATACTCCCACCCAAAGTCATCCACGGTGTACTAAAATCAACAAGTTTTTCACGTTCATATGTTATTGTGAATCCGGCTACAGCCATATCAGCTTCCTGTATACAGAGAAGAACAAAGAGGGAATTTATTCGAATAATTGATATTTATTATTCATGATTAATCCGCTAGACACGTTCCTTTTAAAATTAAAGTAGTTGCCAACCACAGAGGTTATCTGATCTGTGTATAATCTAAGTGAGTTCATTTCGATGCATTATAGTACCGAATTAAAGCAAATTAAAGGAAAAACTCACTTTAAATCGACAGTTGATCAACGTTTTATTTGTTGAAGATTTGTTTATCTGGACCTATTACAAGTGATTACTGTTCTCTGTTTAACTTAATTATTATACAAAATTTATTAACAATTTATTTGGATTATGTTATCATATTTCATGATGATGGAAATTATTTGCCTCAAGAACAACAATGTATAGACTTCTTGTACGACAGAGCTGATTTAAATTTTATAAAAAAACACAAGTCTCATCCTTATCATTACCTCCTACTAATATATTTGACTTCTGTTTATAATGCATGTTTTTAACTTGAGTTTAACATAACTTCAATCAAGTACAATCTGAAGGAGCCAGGTTTGATCTGATGTGAAGTCGTATGTTTACAACTCCGTAAAAACTGGAACCTTAATGAATATTTGTTCCGTTTTCTTGAAATTGCGATGTTTCTTCAACTGACTACTTTGTGATGAAAATTACTATTAAATTATAAAAACAATATGTAATTTGACATAAACAGTGTCAAGGTAAAAGGTACTTTTTAATTTTAGGCTTGTTTACAAAAGTAAGTCATTCAGAAAAATAAATTGTGTAAGACAACAATAAATATATCGAATAAAAATTTTTTTGGGTACCTTTATAATGATTAATAATGATGGAATAAAACCAATAGTATTTCTCTTTAACCGCACTTACCTCTCTGATCAGTTCTCCCATTATGCCATTATAGAAAATGGTTCCGTTTCCAACGTCTATACCTGATCCATATTGTCGGTCTGGTGTTATATGAACTGTATAATTAAATCCAACATCTGATGCAATATGATTCAAGAGATCAATACAATATCCCATCCATGCGTCAGGTGTACCTAATGGTCTATCATATGCATCAAACTTGATTGGAATCATAAATGGGGCATCCTAAAAAATTTCAAGCAAGCAAAACACTAATGAGTTATTATGATGAATCCAATGATTTCTTTGATATAAACGTCAATATGTTTTCTAGGATTTTTTCTTTATTTGTTATTAAATATATATTACCTAATCATTTTGTTAACATCTATAAATAATAAGCAAGTAATTATAATGTCATATTTTCTATTGTTCATCAATGAAAACTTACAGGGATTGTTGTGACTTTCAAGACTACACCTTTGATTTTGGGTAACTGTTTTGGTAACGTTATTGCAGGTTGCTTTGCAACTTTCATTCTTTCATCTATGTTCCATACTCCAGTCTGATGAAAATAAAGTCCGTGGAACGAGTAATTAGTACAATAAAAGGCTAGAAATTTCTATTAGCAAATATATAGTTGTGTATGCAAATACGGTTATGTATAAATAACTGTTTATATCAGAGGAGCTAACATTTTTGAACGATAGAATGAATATTAACGTAAAGCTGTACAGCCAAGACATGTAGTTCAGAACACAATAGATTCTGTTAACTGAAATTATTTCTTTTTTAAACACATTGATATTACCAGTGGTTCGTGTTGAGAGAAATTGGACAGTCGATGCAACAATAAATCTAAAATTTATTCCTCGTGGATTTCTCACTCATCCCCAATAGAGAGAAGAAATCAAAACGAAATATTTTACTTAGCCACTTTTCATTGCTGAAAAAAGGTATTTTAAATGTAAAATTTGAATCTGTTTTGTTCTGCACGCGGTCTGGAGAACTTAAAGAAAGGTTTTATATGTTCAACGTAATAATGGGACGAAGGTTTCTGAAAATTTATTACCGCTTAATAATGGAGTTTGAGTTTAAATAATCAATCTTTAAACCATGTTAGCTAACAAATTCCGTCCTTGATTTCTATTTGATTTAATTTTTAAGTATTCAGAATAAAGGAAAGAGTAAGATGATTAAGGTCAGCTGATGGAGTTAAAAACACCTCCTGGTTTAAATTGTCACAAGCGATCTGTGTAAATTACATTTTACTAACATACCCTCCGAATTAAATATGTGCTCAAGGATGAAAAATCAGCCAGGCAGTAAATATAAACACTGGTTTTGAATAAGCAAGAACCCTTAGAGTTTATCTTATAATTCACTTGTTTGTAGGATTATTTCTTTTATATATTACCCGTCAAAGTATTTTCAGATTGTAGCCCACCACTATCAAATGATTTGGATGTTCACTGGTCTACTAACATTTTCCTACCAGTGAAGTGAAAATATAGGAATACTTAATAATTTTATCTGGAACTAGTCAAATGAAATATAAATATCTGAAACCTAAAGGATTTAAGGACTATGTAGCTTAATTTTTACTGATTAAACCGAGCGGCTATCGTACTTAGTTCCAACTTGAATGAAGACTTTATTATAACTCATTTACTCTGAAGGATTATATCAAAGATAAGAATGGAGATTCTCAGTAATAGTTCAGTTTGTAATATGGCATAAATATTGTATAAAACGTTCAAACTAAAGGCAAAGGCCCATCGAACTCTGACTTTCATTAATTCTCAAGCTCATAGGTTTTGGTAAAATTAGTCTGATAGTTGATGGGTTACATCAAACTACGAAATGAATGGGTCGTACTCTTATGCGATAAAAATATCTTCTCTTCCCACTTCTTATTAATAGAGAATAGTAGATTAAATGCTGTAACAATCTAGTGTGACTATTTCATATGAAGCGATAGCTATGGAGTTCAAAACCGTATATCAGAAAAAAATTATATTTACACACTATAGCAATGATTTTAATTTCAAATATTATTCTATTTCAAATCATAATCTTACGTTGGTAATTCAAGATCTTAGTAAGTCGCCTAGCTGTTTGATACTCTATACACACTTTTTTTAACATTTACATGGTGTGTTAGCTAATTAAACGGCTGATAGGTGTGTAATAGGACGAAATCTGTGAAACCATTTAAAAAATAATTTACTCAAAAAATGAATTATGAATGACGATTGGTAGCTACACCTTAATTGTAGAAAAATGTACGGCAAAAGTTTGAAAGAAAACCCTTTGTATACCAACAGTAATACATCTTGAAATACTAAACATTTGTACTGGTCCATTAAGATTTATGTTGTACACTGATCTTATCTTTTATTCGGTGAATTGGTTTTATGACTATAATACATTCTTACGTATACTTTAAGAGTAAAACACATTCCTTGAAAACAACAAACCTGCACCAACTCAATCCAACAATCTTATATGAAAATTTACGGAAATGACTCAGCACCTGATGTATGGTATGATAATGATATGAACATGTGTAAAATAGACAGTTGCGAATAGATACTTCTTTATCAAGTAGAGTTTAGTACTATTTAAAGAATGAATAGTACTCTATGAAGGAAAAAGTTTATTATAAGTTTAGATTGTTATTACTAGACCTTAGAAGTTAAATGGGAACACATTTTATCATTCATTACTTACAGGTTTAAATCCACCCTGGGTTAGTTCCAGAGTAGTTAGATCGAATAATGTTCTTAAACCGTGTTTGTCAAAACGGAAGGGACTTGTTAAACCCCGAATAGTTTCTGATGCTACCTATAAGATTTTGAAAAATAAGATCCAAATGTAAGCTGTACGAGTTGATTTTGTTATTCCGTTTACATAGAAACAAAATATTTTGTATTCTATGCCAAGATAATTAAGCAACTTCTTTTCTGACAATAATGGTCAACACCATATACGGTAATAGTGTTGTGCATAATGTTGTGTTCTGTGTCCTCTGATATCACAAAGTAAATAGAGAATGAACAAAATTATTAGAAACATACAAACAATTAATGATGTCTAATCTGTGAGAAAACAGGTGAATGACAAATAATTAGCTAGTAAACCAAGTACGAATGTTATTTTGCATTTTTCGATTATGTAACTCCATTATGAATGAAGTCTGACTATTTCTTCTTAAGATGTGAGGAATGAAAAAGACATTCAGAGCAAATAGCGTCTTTCACCCTTAAAAATACTTCTAGATTAAATTAAATACTGATAATTTTTCATCTATCTAGTGATTTAAACCGGATAACGCAACAAAGTAAACCAAATATCTGTGATGTAATGAATATTGATAAACATGGGTCTTCAAGATATATTCTACTGGTATTTATCGTAGATCATCTAAAGAATATAAAGTCTTGCTTTGCTGCTGTGTATCATTGTCAGATTTGAAATATATTGAGAATTTTGATTTTGATTTATCCACATACGTAGCTGACGCATTTCATCCTAAATGAACACTAGGGCTATGTAACGCTCGATTAATTATGATCTAAGAATATTATCAGACGTAATTGCTCTTAAACTGCGTTTTCCATACGGCAGTAAATAGTATACGGCGCTAATACCCGTCGTTTAACGTACCATAGCCCCACTCAAGCCGGTATTATAATAAATTTCAAGTATTTCGGTTTATAGGAAATCCACAGTAAGACTTCATATTTAAGGCACATCTAATTTCATGATTCACACTCCAGACTGAAAACATTATCAATACCTTCTCTTCTGCTTTTAGCCATATGAATCGGAAAATTTGAAGTGAACCAAAGTACACCAAAATCTTCCAGTTATTCAGCTTACTGGTAGATTGGTAACTGTAACGAATAGAACTAATTGATTTGAAATGATTTGTCAGTCACTGATTTGTACGATTAAGTACAATAGTTTGACTGTGATAATATAGCTATCCAAATAGACTGTTTTAACTATCAGGGTATCGTTAACTGATAATGTTAGTTATCTGCAACATAATTTACGAAGAATATTGATAGCCTTGATAGGACTTGCTATCAAGTTAGTAAGTCAATAAATGGATCGAAATTCATAATATCAATAACTTTTGATGTTACTAGTTTAGATCTTTAGTTTTACAAAATCTGAGTGTTTTCAACTTGTTATCTGCAGCGTCACAATAATCTAGTCCGTAATGATACTTATTAGTAACTTAACCACTTTTTATGATTACTGAGGTCATTTAGATGGTTTCCAAATGTTTCATTGCGTGTCCACAATATATATACGTAGTCATTGATCTATCGAACTTGGGTGAACATTAATTCCAGCATTCACCTCATAATATAATTGCTGGAAAAGTTACAGTATAAAGAAAAACCATACCGTCTAAACTATTTAACTGTATTAAAACGATTGTGAATCCCGCATCCAGAGAACTCTAGTCTCAATTCAATTGTTCGACAAAACATGGATACACAAAGCCAAGACATACTGAAGGAAAATCTAATTGTTTTGACCAACTTATCGTAGTCATTCATTAACTTCATGTTTTAGTGGGTTTCGCCTATCTTGTTGATGTAAATTTTATATGAATACACCAACACTATCTACTTTTTGATGCCACTGTGTGATTATTAGTTAGTTTATTATATAAACGTAAATTGATCTATTTTTTTAAATCGCAAGAAGCCTGGTGGTCTTTAAAGTATTAATGTATTTGCTGAGACAAGGTTTTAATCCGTTGATTAGAGAAAGAGTAAAACTACTTCCTTAATGAGGGTTGCATTCACCTTTATATGGTTGTATGTCCGATCGGGTTCCCATGTTTTCGAGTTCAACCCAGTTTTTCTACAAGATAAGGCATCCTCTGCATCGTGCCCGTCGTTTGAAGGAAAAAACACAGTAAATAAGGATTTATATTTACACCAAAACGAAATGTAAACTATCTAATTACACGGAATTCCAGTCTTCGTTTACATGGATTAAAAATAAGATTTTATGTAACTATGTAGCATTCACCACTGAACATTAATAAATAATCAATTATTTACCGTATGTGTTCAGTTTACAGATATTGTAAAATCGGAATGTTACAACTAACTAACTAGCTAAATTATGTGGTCGCAATTCCGTCTATTAGTTTTTAAACTGAACAACAATTTACAGTAAGTAACATACCGATTTAACTGCATTGATCAGACTTAACCCAAGAGGCCATAGACCTGGTGGACGTTCACAGCTTAATTTCTGTGGTAACAATGGTCTTGTTCTTGTCACCGTACTAAGTCCATGTGCTAGAAGTATAAGGCTATCGTAAATTAAACTGAATTGAATCTAATTGAAAAATACAATAAAAATTAAATATACCTTTTATTAAAATATGTTAATTATATAATGATAAAGATGAGTATATATAGAAAAAATCTTTGAACGGAACATAAAGTTCCACAGCACGTTAGTGTATGAGCTACTATGAACATTTTACCCTTTTTAGTCGAAACTCGTTTTCAGTGATTTAACGTACTAAAATCTTTTCAGATTACTAATCCATTAAAAAATAGACTTAATGGTAATCTTCATTTAAAAAACAGATTATTGCAAAAGAGAGTTTTGATATCATTTTAAAATAGATTTTTATTAATATTCATTTTAACTCCTCTTCTTACCCTGACGGGCAACGAAACTAGGGTTAATTACTTTTACTATAAAATGAACCAATCACCTTAGCTCACACATAAGCTTTACCTCAGTATTTTGGTATCTTGAATTTCACAAATCTGTTTCGTTCTTATACTTACAAGTGACTTTAAATGCCAACAAATGTTTTATGTCCTGTTGCATTTATATTTCACCATGCGTTAATTAACCTTTTGTCAAATGTCACCCTAAATGATCCCACTATACGTACATCCTGATCGTTAATTTTTTTTTACTTTATCTTACTTAAAAACCAATCCAAGTTCCTATTATCCCCAAGGTGCTTTTCGATTTACAAACACTACTAGACTTATATTGACTACACTGTTAACTTCGTAATTTGTTCATAGTAAATAACTAACTTCTCGATTCTTTTTGTTAGAACTTATGGATATGCAACCTGATGAAAAGTTAGTGCATAAAATAATTTTAATACGATAGTAATTTTGTAACATGATTCTGAATTGGATAAAATTAGCATATGTTAACGTGATCTAAACATACTGAGAAAATTATAGATAGTATAGCAACTGAATAAGAAAAAGAGTGTAGCAACTCTCATACAATCGATTTCGATTATGATGAATTTTGGTTAAGCCCTTTTATTAACTTACCTAACAGACAATGTTATTTAAGCAGTAACAACTCATCTATTCTTTGTACTATTATGATCACTATCTTGTCTGTATAAATGTGTACGCTTGATTACATGGCAGTCTACATACATATCTCTCTTTAGCTTGAATGTTGATAGCTTAAATGTCTTTCGATGAATCATTCTCTTCCCCCATGTATATATGTACTCGAATCATATTAATGGTCTTTGCCTTACTATGTCCTTACTTGAGTTGACTATAAATTCGCCTGTCTGCACTGGCATACACATTCGCCTCTCTGCTTTAAACTCGCTTGGTATGATTGTAGCTTTGTGGTCCGTTATATTCGCTAATAAACTGTAGCCGTCTCTTCTTATTGCCTTCTGATTTCAAACACCATTGGGATTTACATAATAACAGTTATTAAGGTTATCGATTAACAAAGCTAAGCCACTACAGTAGAATGTCTATTGCCGTGTTTTAAAGTTAATAAAAGATCATCCGTTGGTAAAATTATCAAATATTCACATATTCAACTAAAATCATTGTTGTGTCTATTTTCACAGTATATGAAGTTAAATAGGGTTTGTAGATTGCTCTTTGACATTTCTATAAATAACTTTCGTCAATTTCGTATAAAACATATTGTGCAAAAATCAATATTAACTTACAGTAGGGTTTCCATTGGGAAAATCTTTTGAACTAGCAATATTTTCAAGAGTTTTCTTATAAGGTAGCATTTCTGGTTGAGGTGTTTTATTTATGTCCAATGAAGTAACTTTAGGAATGATTGAAACTGCTTTGATTCTTGCACCTACATCAATTTTGAATGCGCTTAAATCTAATGTTGCAATATCCTAAAAGAGCGAAAGCAATTTGGAACTTGAAATTTAGACATCGATAAGGTTATTTCAGGAAAAATGTCAAATTTGCTTGAGGCAGTTTTTTTAACTTTTTGCTAGGCAATTATGTCATAAAGCTCAGTAATTCCGTGATACCAACTAAAATGGCACGTCAACGAAAAACATCTAAAACAAAAACACGTAGTTTGAAGTAAATCCGACCAAGCTTACAAAAAACACATAGTGTTTTATTGTTGAAGAGTAATATATAGAACCGTAAAGGGTACATGAAATGCTTGATCAGACTAGAGAACAAAATGAAGAACGAAACGTACATAAACTAGTCAACATTATGCAAAACTCCTGCATCTATATTTCCTGTATTTATACATCGAACTAATAAGAGTCAATTTATGCTGCGTGTGGTTTCTATTAACTTGACAGATCTGATACTAATAGGCTCTCACCGTAACTACCTAAATGTCATTACATATTATCTTCACGTAAAGTTAACTGCTAAGGAAAAGCAGATTTGTACTTAAACTTCGCCATTTTTTCAAACGTTTATTTAGTACCATAATAGACATCAATAGACAGTCATTTTACAATGGGGATATAGTGAACATCACAAAAGCGCTCAAAATAATAAGCAAGCAGCAAACACCACTTTCAATTCGTTCAGTAGGTACTACTCTCATTAAGTACTGTAAACCAAACGTTGCACACAGAAAGAAAGATCAGGAAGCCTTTGATTGCCATGGTAAAGTGAATACAGTGATGTAAGGTTCGTTGCTAAATGATTTTTCCCATTTTATATTTTGAATATTCAACCGACACTCATTCATGATATTGGTTTTGATTGTGTATCAACTGAAGAGGTTGGTTATATATATGATCAGTCATTTGTTAAATCGTTTTTCGTGTTATCTTTTAATCAATATTTATGAAATGAATCCCTTTTTAAATATTACTGCATTTTAGCACATAAGTAACGATCAATCTTAAGAACTATGTTAAATAATGTGTGTCTTCTTCATGTTTTTAAATTTTTTTTCTGTACCATCTCAAAATCAAATAAATTGTCTAAGGTCGTTTGTAGCTAGTGAGGAGTTACGAAATGTAATGATATCATGTTATACTAAAGATCCTCTTGTTCTTGCTATTTAGGTTTTAGTGTTTCAAATTTGTTTTGATTAAATAATTATGTTTGTTAATAACGTATACTTACATGCATTCATATAATATTTACTACACACTGCGTATCTAATAACCGAAAAAGTCAAGAAGTACCACACCGGCTGTTTATATTTTTATCAGTTCTATCGCTTAAAGAAAGCAAATGCAACTATTATCGAATTCTTATAATATTAGATGATGGTAAAGATTTTCATGGGAACAGGTTATTTACAGATGGATATAAATGGTCCCTAACCAATGTTTAAAGACTTTTATACAAAGTTTTTTAAAATATTCAGTAGTTGAATACATTGTTTTTTAGTGCTGAGAATTCTTCAATCTAACCAAACATATAATATTGTATACTAATAACACTAAAGTCCCATTCAACTAAATTCGTATTTCAGAATTTCGCTTTTTAGGTACAGCATGTGCTACGGCAATTTAAATCAATGAACCCAACCAATACACCGAAAAATCATTTTGTGGGTTAGTTCTTAGTGTTAGGAAACATTTTCCTCAATGAAATGATACGATTTGCTTTAAAATATCTTCCTATGCACATTTATCATAGTTGACTAGATGGAAGATATAGTAGCAAACATATCTTCAAAACGAGTGGTAATCAGACTGTAAAACAAAATAGCACAGTAAAGAAACAGTACATAAACCATTACACCAAAGTTAATTACCGGAAACAGGTAATGATGTAAACAATTTGGCTTAGTGTAGACACTAAAATTTTCCAATGTATGAGTATGCTTCAAAACAAATTTTACACATTAATAATACAAATATCATGAGAATAATTTTATTTTGGCTACACATTTTATGAAGAGATGTGTTCTGTAATGACATTGTCAAACTGATGTGCTTGAGTCTGGTCCGAAACATGAAGCTATATAAACCTGTAAAATGTCCTTTGATAGACTTAACAAAAAGTAGACGTTTGTAATATTCTCTGGAATTACTTATTTTTGTTCTTACCTGTTGTAATCAAAGGTGATTTAATTCCTTAGTGATTCCAATAATAAAAAATATTACTTATATATGGTACTATCATAAAGCAGTCAATAGTTTTCAGGTTGTAAGATATTTGTATTAGTTAATACATCCCAAACATAAGATATTGTTAAACGGTACTCAGTCCAGATTTCAAAATTCAGCATAATAAATCGTTTTTGGATTTCATTTGGTTGGAAACCTCAGTGATCTTTACATAAAGTAATACATTTTTAATGTGGCTTTTTTATTAAGGACTTTTTTGTAAATTGAACTTTTTGACTGGTCAATCGCGCAATGAAATAACAAATCTGGGGAGGACATGTAGTTTACTTGTTATCATAGTTATCATTCTGTATGGCAATTAACCAACTCAAAATAGCTAATTAAGGTTAGTAATAATACTTCATTATTTTTTAATGTTATTAGGATTTGATCGTTCAAAATGTTTGAATAAAAAACTTTGAATATATTCATTTATCTTTTAGAAAATCAGTAAATGTGTCTCATTAACTCATATTAAGGCCGAGTTGTATAACCAATACCAAATTGTATTACTTACTACAGATAAAAGTGCTTACATTTTTATTATTCAGCTTTAACGATCTAACGTTTTATTTGCAAGCTTCTCGGGACATCACAAAGGTAGTTTCTTGTTTTTCCACTTACCTTCTGTTACGAAGATACTTTATTAGTTAATGGGTATGATCAGTCGATAAACAATTGTCTATTTATGCATATCAATAATATTTCATTACTCATCTGTATGGCCGTTAATTATAGGGTTATGTGTGATTTCCTTATGCTACATAATCTAGAATGCAAAGGTATATTGAATTTTTTTCTATTTATGTACTTAGCAAACTATAATAATTGACATTTGATATTCATGTCGTAACTGTACTCGTAATGATAAAATAATAACAGTTTGAATACATAGCTATTACAACTGAAATTGGCTGTTGTAAACCTAGCACATGAAATGGAATCATTTTGTGTAGACTATCTGCATGTAATTAAAACAGTCAAACAAAAACTCCGGGGTTTACAGTATTATTAATCAGGCCTCATTTATCACAGCCATAATCCATTGTCCAGAATCCCAATAGCTTGAATTGATCTAACAAATTATATCATTCATTTGGTTTCAGTTCATCTATTGATCTCGAATTTTCGTTTTATGAGGACAATTTTGTTGGTATAGGATGATAAATTTCCATGAACTAAAGCCATATTGTTGAATTTTCGTAATATACTGACAGATAATTTGTATGTCACAAAATAAACCAATCCAAATAAGTATTTTTTCCATCACGTAACTTTTTAATGGTTGTTAAGCTTAATTTATTCAAAAAATGTCACTACCAACTGGTTTCAATTATTCCACTTAAACAAATAACTATTGCTCAATAACCACTGAAGATTATATTAAATCCATTCTACGTTTGTATGAGTGGTTTAATAAGTATTTCCTTAATGTGTTTCCTAATGAAAATTATAATTAAAGAAATGTGAATAGTTAGTCAAATTTGTTAGTTTATGAATTATTGTTGCAGATTAGTTGTAGTATTTAGTTTTGAGTTCGTCGAAAAATGTTGTGCAACAATAGATGAGCGATTTCTCAGATTTGGTTGCGGGGCAATTTTCATATTAACATTTGTGTACACAAATAAAGCCAGATCGTTCAACAACATGATCTTTTTGATTTTTAAACAACCTCTACGTCTAGATAGTATGGCAATGAATAAACTGGTATTTATTACACATAAGTTGTGTACTTAGTTTGCGTTGTACATAAGTGGAAACTACAGCTATCAACTTCTTATTAGCGGAAAATAGAACCTCTCCGCCTTTGAATTTACAATATGCTTTATTTTCTTGTGAGTCAAGTAATCTTTTCCAGATAGTCAATTACATGTAATGGAAAGCTGGAAGGATAACTTTATTTGCGTTCTGAATGCTTCCAAAAATGTTCAGAGGTGGGATTTTGTTCACCTAATTAACTTACCATCCAAACAAAGTTTTGTGAATTCTAATCCCTAGGACCGAACAGGTTCTTTGATATTTGACACGATTCTTTGTTATCAATTGAAATAAAGCAAAAATGACATATTCTGGGCCATCATTCTATCATGTCTAAACACCTTATTTATTTGACATAAGCAGTATGCTTATTTTGTAACGCTAAGAGTAACTTTACAGTTTTATTGAAGCATATACTCATTGAGATTCCTAACAAAAACAATAAAAAACTATTGTTTGGAGAGTTCACGTTCCTTGTGTAATTGGTAGCAAACAGTAAAAGTGTTTTAACATGTAAAACTACTAACATTAATTGATAAACAAGTCCGAAATTCATAAGTTATATGACTTAAAACGTATTCAAACTGCTTTTTTTTTCAAAATTCGGCACAAATGTAGTAGTTTTCATCTACGAATCCATGAATATTTAGAAAGCGATCGAATATTTATTGATCTAAGTAAGACAATAAAATAAATATGTGATCAGCAGATGAATAATGTTCGATTTTATTTAACTTACTGACAATGCTCTACCAATTAGTTATCCTTATTGATTTGGATTAAGTCGATATTCCAATATAATGTGCTAACTGAATAACTTTAAACACCACTAATTGCTAGGGAATAACACTTGACCATAGTTAATGACAAGAGTATCCTTTTAACTTAGTTTTCAGAAAGTCATTGGTTCAAATTATATCTTTAAGAGGTCTTGATAAAGTGTTATATGGCTACCAAAACTCTTATTACAGATATATATCTTAAGTGTGAATATTTAGTCTGACGACTTTATTTAAAAAATATTTATATTGCAAAAGTGTATCTATAAAATATAATCGTTACTTTTCAGAATTATTAAGACTTAGGATGATCACTCCTACTAATGAAAAATGTTTGTTTTTTTGCATTTTTATTATGTTTCAGTTTATTCTTTAATAGGGAGTTCCTCATTTTTATATTGATTAATTAATCGGAAGTTTCACTATCGAATCGTTTTCTATTTGATATCACCTATGACAATTATACAACGCTACAGATTATCAATCAATTTAGTTTCAACATTTATTGAATATGAAAGGTTTAGATATAGTACGTAATATGATACGATTATTAAAGCACTTCGGATCCCTAAATACCAGGTAATTTACTGTAATTTTGAATACAATTGATTCCTAATCGTTTGGAACGCTGCTTATTGTCACTATACAAATTAACACATAGTAGTTTCGTTGTTTTTTTACTCAGTAAACGTCACTGATTTACTACTTCATTCCATCACATATCAAAGGTAGATTTTTAAGGTGTAATGAAACTAGTTTCGCAGAGTTATTCATTGAAAGTTGAACCAGATGAGCAATTTCATATATTTAATTTGAACGGATATTTATTTACGACATATATGGAAAAGGCTATTAATTTTTACTGAGAAACGCGAGGGATTTGATTACTATACGGAAAACTTAGGAATACGCTTCACTTTCTACAGAGTGACTTTAAATGTAATACTATTTATATGACAATCATTTGTGAATCAGATTCCAGATTTTGGATAACTTATCAAGATTAAACATTTGTTAAGTATTATAATTTGAAATATGTTGTGCTACAGATTTATATATACCTAAATAATCAGATAAAAACTACTTGCTATTTCTTATGAACCTCATTTTCTAAACCTTATTCATTAAACGACGACTAAAATCTAAACGTTTTACTTTGAGAAAGATATTAAGTTAAACAGTTCATCATAATTCTCGTTCAACGAATTTTCTCCTTTGAATAACCGCGTTTTTAATAACTATTTTAGCACTGAACAACAGTATTTCAATGAATTAGTATATCACTGAAATGTTTACATAAAGCGATAACATGTACTTACCCAATCTGTGAATATGAAAGTGTACTGATAGCCGGTCATATTGTGCACATATGCCTGTAAGAAGAAATATATATGCACGTGAGATACTAAATTATATAAACATTTTAGAAAACGTTCGTAGAAAAGACGTAAAACAAGAAATTGAGAGATAAAACAAAGATAAACAAAAGTCATATTGATACACAGTAAAGTATCTAAAATTGTGGTTAGAATGTACAAATACTAACTATTACAACAATCCTTTCTTTGGTAGTGAGTGCTTAGAGTGTACCAACTAATGCAAGTAATGAGGCTAAGAAAACAAGTGGTGTAGCATTATGGTACATAATGTAAAGTTGAACACACTAGATGCCTCAACACAAATTATAGGCCTAAAGTTGGGTTTCCTCAACCCTTATAGAAATATATATCTCAAGTTCTATGGAATAGATCTATAATTAAGCTTCAATAAGTGTTGAAAAGTGAATGGTGCCTGTACTAAAATAGAAATATAAATAAAATCTTGTTTGATTTGTAATATCAACAGAATTAAAAGTTCGGTGTTCATCGATTTATTCAGACACTAAGCTTTTTAAAAATTCTGAAAACTGTTCAAATTTAAAATGAAGCAATTTTTCATTTCCTAATATAGCTCAAGTTTAGATAAGAGCTTGAGGGTTGCAACATTGATGACAGCTGGCAACGTAAAATATATATGTATTTGGTCAAGTTTTTTGAAATTTATTTCTGTATTGAAAGAAATAGTTATTTTGATTATTGCCATCAGATCCTGATTTTTTGAATTTAGGTTATTATGAGTCTGGTAAATGAATTCTAAGGTCTATTGTTCTGCACGAGTATTCGTATCGAATTTATTGTGCGTTTTAACTCATTCATGGGTTTATAAGTAGGAAACAATTTGGCAAACTTGATGTATAGATTCTGATAAAACTTCTTTGCTACCCATATCCGACAAAAAAGAAGAATGTCTTAAAAATTAGAACCTCTTTTCTGAAAGCCGATTATTCAAACAAAACAATCGCACATTTTTTGACATAAATCCCTGTCCCGGAAGTATTACAATCATTAGAATCAACCGTCATCGGTAAAACATTTTAAGAATAAAGTTTGCAACCTTTTTTTATAACTTCACTTTCCTGATTGTATTGTTTGTAACAACTTTCCATTAATTCTGAATTTAGGTTTGAAACTAAGATTTTGTATCCAGATGAAAATAATTACCGTCTGCTACATGGATACATTATTCGAATTAAACTTGTTTAATAAATATTCACCAATTAAACTAAAACACATACCATAACTAAGAAATTGGTTACTTGCCAACTGGGAATGTCCACAAGAAAATTTTTCTCCAATCCTGACCCTAGTTCTGCCATCATTGCTCTAGCACCACTTGCATTTTCATCCCATGATTTAATTTTTAATATTCCTTCAAAATTATTTACTAAAGTGGCAAATTTGAGCAAACCTAAAATAATATGAAAAATAGATAAATGCTATGAAACTATTAGTCATGATAACAGATGTAACTCCGATGTAAATGTTTCAAAGATAGCATTGAATGTATGACATCCGCCAAAAAATTCTCACCAGTATTGAGTACATATTATGAAAATCGTTGTATGAGACTTCATGGTATTTAATTCCACACAAAAATTTATTTATATTACATGTACTAGTGTCATTATTGTATAGAATAAACAGTGTCAATATTCATTTCATATTGATTGAAATGTATCTAAATAGTGTAAAGTTGTCCAGTGATTTTAAAATACAGAATGCAGTACTCCAGGGTATTAGGTTGCGTTAAATTTTGTTTAAAGGACACTGTATGGTGTTCGCTCACTTTTAGAATGAAATATAATTAATGACAGACTGACCTAAGATAACATGTCAGTATGGTATAGTACATGTTCTTGTTTGGCTGGTAGAACTTACGGAACAGTAATTTTACTCCACTTAATAAGGTAAGTTAAAAGTAATTAGTTCTATTATAGGTTTAATTTAAGAGTGCATCACCAAGGAGCAACGAATATACTTCATAAAAAATCCACAGACTTAGTTAATTTTAATAATGTATGACTTAAACTTACTTTCAGGTTTATTGTAGATGAGTGTCATACGTTTCCATTTTTCTACCTGAGTTAAATATTCATATAAACCTATTCCATAACTTTCTATACTTGGATGTAAATGTATGGCATAAGTAGTTTTTCTTGGTATCATATTCCAGTGTGTTTCAACATACGGCAAACCAAATCGATTGGCCAACGACAACAACGCTTGTGATAAAGATGTTGAGCTTGGTCCATATAGGGCAATAATGCCTCTATCCAAAATTTTGCATGCTTTAAATAAAGGAGTGAATGTGGACGTAGGTAATCTAATGAACAATTTAGTTGAATTCAAAAGAAGTACCAATGAATAAACTTTGCACTTTAATTAAATTTGAGTCACAGTTACTTAATTATTATTGTCTTCGCTATAGAAAGTGAATTACAGAAAAATGAATCCAGGAAGTCTGGTTTCGAGAGATATGCTATCTTGACATTTACTTAAACTTGATGTATTTAGAGATGCAGATGGAAGCTAGCATTATTTAAATGGATGACTTTTGATTTTGTTATTCTTGAATATATTTTCATAAAGCTTGCCCAATTTACATTTCGATCAGTAATCAAATTTATTCGTATCAAAGTCGCTTGCAAAACTATATGGTTCCGTCTCACTTTCTATCGCTTTTAATACTATTTGACAACGTATGCGAAGTTAAAAAGAAGCGTTTTTAGCGAAGACAGATCAAAAGACTCATTTTTCAATTTAAAGTGTATTTCACTAGACCGTTTATACTGCATATGTTTAGTAAAATTAGAAAACGTTGAAAAAAACTCACATTTATTCGAGACGTAATAGAAAATATTCAACTACGACTCCAGGCAGAACTGGATCGTGAGCCATCGTATCAACGTGTAATCGTTTTAAAGATGTTATTGAGAGTCCCGTTATGGATCTAAAACAGGTCTTCACTTTATTGTGTTTTTATATATTTTGATCTCTGACATCAGTTAACAGCCAAAAATACCTTCAAGATATTTCCACACAATCACATGACGAATTCAGTAAAATTGTTTTGTCAGCACAAGATCCTTATTTAAATAATACTGGACATTAGTGTGTTCCGAACAAAATAAATCATATCATTTTGCACTAAAAATAAGTATTGTTTAGATTTCGTATACTATTACACTCAAAATATGGTAATAATTAGCTGTTTGTAAATGTATAATTTAGACAAGAAACTGATCGCATGGTTATTAATACAATACATCAGTTTTATATTTTTATTATCAATGGTTAAGATTAGAAACATTCAAAAAGTGAAACTGTCTAGTGATGGATATAATTAATTGTGACATCCACTCATTTGATAAACTCAACCCATCACAAAATATTTAAGACTTATTTGCACTTGATGTTTTATCTTTTTTCTTCACATGAAAATTTTAAAAGGACGACAACTTGCTATAACTAACGTATAATTTGAGTTTGCCTACTTATTAATTGTAGAGTATAAACTTTTTGAAGTTTGTTTTTTTAAAAAGGAAGAAATCTCAAGCGCTCATCATGAAGGTGCATAACTTTTTAATCATATATGAAAATAATTTCCACTTTTGGTTCCTTTGATTGGTTAATAAACGGTAACCATTATATTTATTTAGGGGTGGATAATGTAAAATTCTATTGACTAAGTTGCAACATTACTTACTAATCTAAGTGAAATTTCATTAGCCTTTTTCGTACTTTTCAATATATTTTTGTATTTATCTAAATCTCAATAAAAATGTAAACACAAACGTGTGGAATATGTTCTCTCTAACATTCTTCAATGTAGTTCAAGTACTAATAGGGTAAAGTGATTATTCATACATCTAATTATTTATTGTTATTAAACACTAAACAAACAAATTAGTTTTAACAATTTAAATCAAGATAATTTACCGCCGTTTATTCACTAATTTAAAACAAGAGTTTACATGTAGGATATTTCAAAAAAATGTATGTAATACTTCCTTAACAGCAATAAATCATAATCCATTTAATTGGATTGAAGTAACTCACAGTTCTGTCAATTAACTTATTCATGAAACAGTTGCTTTTAATTTACTTCAAATAAAGTCATGTATAAATTCAATTAATATGCCGATTTGTATTACAGCTGTTATTAGCATCACAAAAACAACAATAAATCATAAACTATGTAAACTGCATAATCGAATTGACTCTTTTTATGTATTCTTATTGGCATGTTCGTCAGTAATTAATTGTACGACTAACTCCAGATTGAATCCTAATAATGTAACCAACATTCTAATTGTATATAATCATTCAATTTAAGTAGCTCATCAATAAATTCTGTGTTGACATCGAAACAATATTATTCAAATTGACACAAATAGATGTCACCAAACCCAACTTGGTTTGATCAAATAGATGGTGATATAAATTAATATTTTGGATTCACAGTAAAATAATGGGTGATATTTTATTCAATTAACTTGTTTGTTAAAGGATAATCATTGAATTATGCTGTAATTCTTTTTAACTTTACTGCTTACACTTTCCTCTGATTCACAGAAATAGTTGGATACCTCTTAGTATTGGTTTGTGATTTTCCGTTGATGATATTTAGAAGCTTAAAGGATTAGTCTTTGTTGTTATATGTACTTCTTGGCTTTTTAATTATGTGATTTTAATGTATTTGGATTTCGACCAGCTGGAGGATTCAGAACGTCAAGATCCGTTTATTTATGACTTGTCAGTTGGATATAATTGCAACCCCTCGTTAGTGTTAACACTGAAACTAGTAACTGCTACTCCGAATGCAAACGCTTTATCTACCCAGCAGGTGTGTTAAGGCAGACAATACTTTATTCACCGAGCATGAAATCATTCGGAAAGCTAATATACAAAATTAAATGGAAAATTTTAATTTAGAGGTGATATCAAGGGATCCCAGTGTGATGTAGATATCTTAGTAAACAATGATTCCTAAAATCTTGAATATCAACAACTTCGCACCCAGTAGCTCAGTGGACAACGAGTTAGCATTTAAATCGAAATGTACTAGGTTCTGGTCTTAATATGAATATTTATTTGCTATACAATCGAAATATATTATTTTGAAACATTAGTTGTATAGCCATATAAACCAAATTTTTATTTCGTACAAAAATGTTTTGATAGGTTTAGCATATGGGTGGATAAGATAAAAAAGGTAATAATGAGACTGAAATTTAAGATGCTGCTAAATGATAATCGTAAAATTTGACACTAGACTATAGAAATTTAAGGAGGTAGTTAAATGTATTCAAGGATCTAAAGATAATTTTCATCAATAAGATTACTGTTTTTGAGATTACATTACAAAGAACTGAATCAACTTGATGTCAGAAATTCAAGACGAGTAAGTCATATTATTAGGAATTCATTCGTTAAATATTCTACTTTAGCTTAAGACAGATCAGATAAGAAAGGTTATTCATATTGATTTACAAACAAATTTATTTTAAGGGCATTATAACATCTTGTAATCTATTAATCTCAAAGAATAGCCAACTTGTATGAACGTCTTCATAACGCTAAGTTATTCTAGATAATGGTCGAAATTTTATGTTTAGGAATAAAAGGACATTATCCTTTTGAGGTATCTTGCTACTTGGCTTTTAGGCTTTCAGACATTTTTAGATGTTCTCGTAAACTTATTGGTGTCATGATTTCACAGTTAACTGAATTCATTTTTGTATCTTTGGTGTTTTCAGTTTTTTATTCTTTTCACATAAATTAAATACAATAAGTTAGTAACGATCATTTGAACAATTCATTTTGTATGTCCCGATGGGAATATTAACACTGGGATGCAGATATAGCACGGTGATGTGTCCCATGTATTATGAAACACAAGTACTAGATTCTATTGCTAATCACTGTTTAACCTTAATTAAATTTGTGAATAAATGGCTTTATCTAGACAATCCGCAGAGGATGCATGTGTGATATAGAAAGTTTGATCAATTTTAGTCCCTAATATAAACAGTGGGATGATGCAAGCATACAAAATAAATTTATCTTACATTTGTGAAAATAAACCATAGACGTTTTTTTTTAATTAAGGGGATTGTTTTTATGTTATCATGATTAATTAATTTATAGTTGACTGAATAAGTGAACATTGAAAAAATTGTTAAAGACATGAACAAATATTTATGCGAAACACATACGACTTTTTCATTCATTGAAATTAATCAATTACTAGTTTAACATGATGTTTATCAACGGAGCATACATTTAATTGGTGACATGGTATTCATAAGATAAACATAATTTGAAATGAGATATATAGATATTACTGACAAAGATATTACTGATGAGTTATTTCTTGGTGTTATAAATGCAAACACGCAATATTTACAGTAGTTTACTATGTATTATCCTTAACAATTTTACAATTACCGATTGAGTGTGAAAGAGTGATAATATATTCGATTGTCTAAGGAAATTAGTTAAATCGTCAGCAAACCTGTGACTATTCAGTTATAACTCAGTTTCAAAATGTTGTCTAAGCAAGATCTTTATAGGTCTCGTATATATATATATATATATATATATATATATATATATATATATATATATATATATATATATATATATATATATATATATATATATATATATATATATATATATATATAGTGGATAATCCGTAAATTAACATCTTTCAGGTACTGGAGGTTTATCTGTTCATTAGTCGACTCATTTGATATTTTACAATAATCCATCTGTTCGAAACTAACTTTGTATAAATAAAATGTCAAGGACGTACGTATAACTTTTTTATAATTCATTGTGAAAATTGTGATCATTTCAAACCTTTATTTGTGAACGGAAGTAAAAAATATCGGTCTAGAATAAAGCATTTTATAATTTTCTATTTCATATTTTTTCTGTTTAAGTTTTGACAGCTAGAAAAGTGGGCGCTTTGTATTGGTTCAAGCGGCGATATGACTTTATCTAACGATTTCCCAGTAAAATGTAAAATATGCAGCCAAAGGAATGACGTAACACAGGAAAAGGACATTTATTAGTTGCATCAGAATTTCATTATTAATTTTGCGCAACAGTTGCTATATCGCGTCATAGTTATAGTTATCAAAGTCTAAAGTGAAGTTGACACTTGAGAATTTTCTAAAATTGAAATTTCCACATGTGTGAGATTTACGGTTACAAGTAGCAGCATTGTAACCTATTTGTGATAGAAGAGAATGTGAGATTTGTTTTCAGAATCTGGAACCGCGAAAGGTTATACATGTATTTTTGAGCCTTAGCATTAGGCCTTGAAAGTTTCATATTTTGACTCCATTATTTTTTCAGTATGGACCATCAAATCAATGTCACTTTCATTATAATTTTATTACTTTTCTTTTTTACAGGCTATACTAAAAGCTGATCATTTTGAGATTGATTTTTGAATATTTAGGCGCACATTAAAATAGCTTTCAGGATGTCGTTGTACGGAAAAATGTATTCTTGTTTTGTAGATCAATCCTTTTTAATTTTAGCTTATCCCTAATGATAACCAAAAAGCTTTTAAAAAACAATTCTTTATGGAAGCAGTGTTACATACCTTGCTGTGTGGCTATAAAAACATTATCTTTAGGTACAAACTGGATAATAGGTTCTAACTGGTAAGATGATAGAGTTCCACTTTGACCTAAGACTTCATTAGCGGCTTGAACACCATTTTCAAACGCTTTCTCAGTGTCGCGGTCTTCATCAGTAAGGATAACTCCTGAAAGTACAAAAACGTCTGGTTATCAAATAGTTTACAAACGATTAACTTATAAAGCTATTAGAATTCGTGAGTCGTTTAAAAGCTGTGCATTAGAAACTGTAAATGACCCATTTGAACCAAATATATTTATGTAAGGATAAAAAGTCAAATATATTGGTGTGTAACGTAATAAACGCTGAAGTTATATCTAAGGTCTAGGTGAAACTGTGGGGAGCGAACTAAACAGGTTTGTAGACAGACTAGATAATTCACTGAAACATGCTGGCTATCTGTATAATCCTTGTCAGTTTCGAAGATTTATACATATTAGATTATAATATTGCGTTCAAAATATATTTTATGGGTTTGCGAACATTAAAAATATCAAAAGGCGGTAAGGACATGGATGGTAAGAGCTGACGTCTTACATGTTCTAAAACAAACAGTTCTACAGGACTGAATTATAGAAGCATCTGTAATCAATCAGGATACGTTTAACAACGAAAGTAAATTTGTAGTGATGCGATGCTTTTAACATCAAAATCTATGGGTAAATGAGCTGTTATTTAAAGAAGTTACATTTAATCACTGTCTTCACGCATATAAAATTTACAAAGAAAAATTATCTAGAAACATTCATGAATTATCCTATCAGTGTTACTTCGTTTTGAAGATACAAAAACTTGCAGCACTGACAATGTCATTACTCGCTTGTAAAACGTTTGTAAATGTTAATTACAGTTTTATTCACTGTATATATATTTATCCTTATTACCTGATTACTTGTTGTCGATAGATGACATAAGTTTTTCATGACCCTGATGTTAGTCATTATGCAGTGGCTTTACACATTAAGCGATATCACAGATTAGGTGCTAATGATCTATTCGTTGATGATTTATTTGCGTAAGCTACTTATTCAAAAGCCGAGGTATTCATTTTGTTGAAAAGTTCTACGTATAATATCTAACCACCATTAGACTACTGATTGTAAATATAAAAATGTATTAGTGTTTCAATAAGTTTACCAGTCTGTAGTATCTAACTTTGATTTCACGTTTAATCGTTGAATGTTTACGTCAATCCTGATGGATTTTGCCTCACTAATAACGACTCTCTGAGAGTATTAATAATCAGTGACATAGACCAGCAAGGGGCTAATCGTAGTCTCTTTGATGACTGCCAAGCACTACAGACCCAGGATAATGGCTTCTTCTCAATCATTTTTGAGAATATGAAGCCAAAAATCTGCTTCAAGATAGAGAGTTACTTGGTTTAATGGGGATACTGCAAACGTGATTTCATGAACTTCAGTGGAAAGCACATCACGCTGACAATAACGGAGTGGTATATTATATATATTTGATAGTTATCTTCAAATCGTACCTCATTGTTGTGAAATGAAAATTTTTCAAAGTCTGTATATCATTAAATAAGGATATTGACTGGATTAGTTAATGATATGGAACAAAAGTAAAACTTCGAAAAACTCAAAAAATTTCAACGTAGTTTGACTGTGAGCCTGTCTTAACATGAAACAAAAATCTAGTATCCTTATAAAATAATCTTAAACTGATAACAAAATATTGATGAGGTTTTAACACTATTAAATGTCAAGTTTTTCAGTAAGTCAGTGAATCAATTCTTCTTGATCAATTTTATTGTTTCCTTCTTTCATTTTTATTATTCTGTCTAAATTCTTCTAAGATTATTATATACAGTTATGTACATATACAATATGGATAGTTTTTAACATGGAATTTTATCTCGATATTCATTTATTCTATGCACTTCATTTGTTTGACCTTTAAATTATTTCTAATATTAAATGAAAAATCCTGTATCTACATAAATAACAACGATGTAGTTGTACTATATTTAATACTGTTCATCGTAAAGAAAATTTCGAGTGTATATATGTGTACTTTACACAAATTGTAAGGAGAAGCTGCATTCTTTTCTATCAAACTAAATGATACTTTGCAGGTGTTGGACAAAGACAAGAGTTCGTGCTTTTCACTGAGTTTTACGTGGTTACTGAAAGTTAATTTAAAGTTCTACCAGATTTATTCTGTAATGTCTTTTTGTGATGGAAATATCATAGACGGTAGAATGTTACACCTTAATCTTCACTGGTTTCTCAATTCTCTAAATCTTCTTACCGTTTGTCTTAAACCATCTACAAATAAACATAGTGAATGAGAACGTGAAGCCGCATAACATAAACACTACAATATATCGAGTCAGATATATAGGTCCTAACACAATTACAAACGCATAGTGCTTAATAATTTAAACATAATACATATCTACATTTTAAATTAAACTAAATTCAAACAACTTTCTGTGTAATTAATGATTTGTATATAGTTTAACAGTTAGAAATATATTCAATAGAATAAATCACTCAGCTTCATTCTAAATAGCTTCAGTATTTCAAGTTAGACATCTTATTTACAGTTATTATCTCAGCAGGATGTCATGTTCTAAGTAAATTTAAGAGCCATTCGCTCTTGTATTTTCATGTGATAATAAATGTACAATAACGTATCATTCTCATAAACTATTTACTTTCTCAATAAACTTCAACTTTTTTTTACTTAATTATTTATTTTTTTTGAAATAATTATGGTTTTAGGATAGTTTTCATCGTGATCTAATATTGACCACCGAACTAATATGGTACAAAAAGCCATCGGAAAGCTGTATGAAACTGAGTGCGGTATTTCAAGTCCTATTGGTAAGGAGGATAGCATTGTTTCTTTCTCTTAAAAACTGATACTTAATGTGTGCAATAATACAAGAATTGTATACGTGTTATTATTTTAGTCAATAAGAATATTCGTGTCCCTTAGTTCCTAATTTGTCTTATTTAGGTCTTCTACACAACTTTTGAGATTGAATTTCATTTATTTATCTATAATCAGTGGTTTGAATTTTCATTTTTATCTCTCTATTTGAGGTTAAAAATGTACGAGTGAATATAAATAGAGCGAAGCTTTAATAAACACGACATTGTTATCAGGAGTTTTCACACTTTATCAAGTATTCAGTAACGTGATGTAAAAATCAGTACAAGTACATTCAGAAAAGTATAAATTTGTACGTTGATTCAGTTCAACGTATAAATATTGATCCAACTTTCGTAAACATCTCGGTAAAAAATGTGTTAAAAATTTCCGCATACTTTGATTACTTTATTATTAAAGACCAAATGAAAAATACGATTTACTGAAATGATTATTTTCAGCTTACCGATATATATAACAGACTTAACTTCTCTTGGATATCTTGTTAAAATTGTATTGTATGGAGGAGTTGATAAGTTGGACGGTAATGTACACTGTAATCCATTTACAGTAAATATGACTAGTAAAAATAAATTTAACAATATCTCTATGGTATAAATCATCTTTTGAATGTTTCTTCGAGTTCATCTAGTGTGAATTGTAATGATTTGAGTGAACTCTAAAAACTAAACAGAAATTATATTTGATATTATATTTAGTATTTTACTGAAACAATCAATTGAAAAATTACATTGTAGACTGTAATTTTAAAAGTTATTGAAACAAAAGTTAAAATGTTTATTCATTACTGATCCATTTCTAAACATTCACGCCACATCATGATGGTTAGATTTGTTGAAAGAACAAGTAGCGAGAAAGATAAGTTTAAGTGGAAAAGAACAAACGATAATTAAAAATCACCGTTATTTGATACATAATAAATTGAATCAGCCAATCTTATACAAATATGAATTTACTCTAAAAACTTACCTCCATGCAAGACTGGTACTGTATTTAATAATTTTTGAAAAATAAATTTATTTACACTAGTAAAATATGACCGAATGAGAATACTTAATGAACAGTTAATTTGATTGAAAAAATAACTTTTTTTAGGACTGTGTAGCTAAGTGACTTTTTATCCACACTGTTCTGTTTCTGAGGACTTTAGAGCAGGGTTCTAAACTACCACTACTAGTTTTGAACAGCGAATCATTCAACTATTTTAACACAAAACGATAAGCATCTCTATACATCTCAAATTCAACTGTGTAAAATATGGTTTTATTGATGGAATTACTAGTGAATTACATTATAGTAAAGGTCAATTTTAACTATACTCAATAAATACTAGTCCTTTTTTTTCAATCACGAAGTCAGCTAATTATATATTCCCAGTTGGGTTTCATTTATATGCTTTAACAGCAATATAGTAGATAAAATATACTACAATATTCTTAATAAGAAGCTTAATTTTTGTTCACCTTTTTACAAATAAAAATATTTCTTTTTTAGCAATTCATTCAATTGAAGGTTTAGTATAGTAATAGACAATTTTGTTTTCCAGAAAGTGATTTGTACAACATTCGATTTCTAAGAAAAAAAATATTTTTAGCCAACTGTACTTTTAATTTATCACTGAGATAATATTGACTCAATCTACATTTTAGAAAATCCATTTAATACAGAGCATAAATGATAAATAATTTATTAAAATCGATTTTTCCTAGTCTCCAATGTCTTTCCTTAACAAAAATAAAAAACAACATTGTTCATTTATTACCTATCGGAAAATAAAAGTGTCTACTGCTTCGGCTTTTGGTCGACAAATTACTTTTTCTCTGTCCAATTAATTTACAAACCATTTATTATTATTATATTTTTGCTTAGTGAATACGACAATGCCTTATCTTTAAATCAACATAATTAAAGTTAATTATAATTAGGAAAAGCATTTAGATTTTGTGGTTGCTACGAATAGAATCTTATTTGGCACAAATTTGATTTAATTCGTTTAATTTTTTAACAATCAGAAAAATATACTCAATCATATGTATTATTTATAGTTTTAATCATATTTTGAATGTCAATAATAAATTCTGAAGTCTAAAATTATTTAAATATTTATTTGGATTACCACTGGTAGAATGAGAGTATTTAGTAATGTAACATTGTGAGAAATAACATTATCTCACTTTGTTATCTTCCACCACAAAAACTAATTTATTTGGATTACGGCAAGAAATAGAATACAGGACGTACATTTTCGTCCGCTTCCATACATACCATCTGGATGTACCTAGAAGATTTCTTTCATTTGCACACCGAGGATGTTACTCAGTCTCTATGGTGTTCAACTCCAACTTCGTACATAGTTGGCTTTTGATTCAAAATAGCAACAGTAGAATAATACACACTTTTACAAATACTATTTGACAATGTTTAAAAGTAATTCTTCGTGACAACATAACCGACCTATGTTATATTAATTATGTATATACATATGCTTAACTTTAACTGTCGTCTTAATAATGGATTATTATATTCCTAGTGGAATTAAATTAGTTTAGAAAATTGGTAATATAGTGATGCACAAAAACTTCAACTTAATCTATTTTGATAATCATAAAACCACAAATTTATGTGGTAATGTAAGTAGTAGTTGTAGGTTACTAAACAGAAGGGTCAGTCGAGATAAACTATTATTTAGTTAAAAGCATAGCGATAAAAGTTTGAAATTGATTACTTTCTTGTTCTTGGTTATTTTGTTCCTTACTTTCTTTTGTTAAAGTTTGGACACATTTAATGGATTTTTACTATGGCCCGCCATATCCTACTGATTCTCATAGTATTTTCAGTAAACAGTTTTTTGGACGATCGAATAAGTCTTCCGATCTAGCGCCTGATGAGGAAATATAAAGATATAGTTTGGAATTATTTTATTGAATAACAGACAACTTATTTCTTAGGCAAGCGAAACAGAAACCCAGGACCCTTGGTCTTGCGCGCGAACGCTTATTCTCTACACAACTTAGCTGGCATCCACCGGTGTTAATGCCTAACTTCAACCAATCCACGATATAGTGTGATCATCTTTCACTGTCCCGGTGGTTAATTGTCTTACAAACGACACGATTGAACTCCACTGGTCACGAATTCTCACTTGAACTTCGAGAATTACGCCTCGGATTTGAATCTTGCATGAGGGATCGTGGATGCGCAATGCTCAGGAGTCCCATGCTAGGACAAAACGGCCGTCCAGTGCATCCAGGTTTTCATTTTTTTAATTTATTTGTCATGGTAAGAGTTTAGCCGAGTGTCTTGGGGTCGGCGATATAAAGATATACTTGCATGATGCTATAAACGGAAATGAGAGTCTACGTAATTTTTGTCGATCCGAATAAGCTATCTGGAAAGCGCTTGTAGAACTATATGCAAACAGTGAACAGGAAACCAAAGAAATTTAAACTCCATAGGAAGCATTTCCTTTCAACTTTTTGTTCCGACAGAAATATGCATATAAATGTCTTATCCAACAGATTACTCAAAGGGTTTACCACGTTACCACTAAGCGCAGACTGTCAGTCTGGATAAGGCGAGTTTAAATACTACAAGGAACATCAGTTCTTTTCAGATTGCAAAAACGTCTTACTGGCGAGTAAAAACTAATACGAAACTTAGGTCTGTAGTATCCTACTAGTAACCTCTACTCATTTAACATTAAAACATAGTGTATGCACTGTTGCATTCCTTGAACTCATGAGGATAATTTAATTTAGGTGACAGCATTCAATTAGAAAATGAAGACTAAGTAATTACATTTGTTACCGCCCAAGGATCGATAAATGGGAACGAATCATGTAAATTGAAAGATTGCAAACAAATTTTGAATGCGAACAGTAAACTATTTCATAAATTCTTTCGTTTCACCTACAATTATGGAAGAAATTGCTTTATTAGTGCAGCATCATATAGAATTGAAATGTGTTACTTTATCAAGTGATCAAGTTATAACTCGAATTAACATGATTTTATCGACTTTTTTAAACAAGAATACGTTATGATCCTCAATTTTCGGGTTATTTTTGCTGACGATTTCCAAATAACATGTGCACTTATCAGTCCGTTACTTTTAACCTATCAAATTATTAAAAATTTACATGACTAAAAAGCTGTTTCATTCAGATTAATTGACTGATTTTTTAAGGCCATGTTAGTTGTTTTCATTATTTCTTCTTTGTATTCTTTCTACTGATAAGTGCCAATGTTTCCTAATCATACCTTTCAGTTATGACATAAAAGCTTCTTTAAATACGAGATATTGATAGACTACATATTTACTCTTCATGAAATTTATTGACTTATTGTTATGTCCCGATAAGCATAATGAATGGTAACTTTTGGGATCCATTTATGGAGCAGTACTATGCGTATATTTTTATTATATAATTGTTAAATAGCTAAACTGTTCATATTCATGTCCCTCCTATCATGAGCTTGATTTTGACCTATGAACTATTATTATACGACTTATCATTCTTGAATTATGCCCTGTCTATTAATCACGCCTCCTCACATTCACAGCCATATATAGCCACAACTTGTACAAATGTTTTTTCTTATTTTATGGTACGATTTGATCTGTTTGATCGGTATATAAACCCCGTATGTTTGAAATAATCGATGATTATTGTAGAGGCTGAGAATGGTGTTCTGGACTTAACCGTCTGGGATAGGTAGGATGCAGGGCCGATAAGTACTCTAGACTTCTCGTACGGGTTTTAGGCACCATTGGTTCCATCGATAATTCACTGCTCTATAGTTGGCTGTATCATTACGTTATACATTAACAGCGAACACAGGCCACAAGTTATAACACTTATCACTGCTGAAGACAAAAATTAACTAAATCTTTGAATATCTAATATTATATACGTCCAAATATTTTATTTAACTGTTTTTGCAGTCCTAAAACAATGTTAATGGGTGAAAATCAATTAAGTACATTAAATATGTTATGTGTTATTGAGAAATATTTGCAAAAAGTATTCGGACAAATAAAGTATGCTAATTTTCAATTATATACGTGATGAATAAGTAAATGTGGACATTAAACACTTTAATAAATCATATCTACTCATTTTAAAAGAACAAAAACATATGTGATGATTTGATTTAGTCAACTCTGGTAGCTTAGTTATTTACTTAAGTTGGCTTATCTATAGATAACTGCATAGTTACTGACAGATGGTTATAAAAAAAATTTCAGAAATACAGAAAAATCATCTAAAGTAAATATGTAGGGTAGTTCAACATGAATTAGAAGCAATTAAATATGAAATATTTTCTGTATCTATATTGTCAAAAGAGTAGTAAGTAGGATATTTATGACTCCTGTTGTCGATTATACCATCTAGACTAAAAAATACAACATTGCTCCAAGTTTTTTTTTACTAAAAATATAAGGAAATAAAGCAGATTATAAAAAAGTCTCAAAGTTGGTATATGGACATGTATAACTCTTTAGAACTCTTCATATGGAATTAGTGAATGATGAAATCACTGATCAATAGGAAAACATCATGCATAAATGCAAAAAAAAAATGAATAAATATTAATTTTCTAAATTGCACAAATCAATTATTCAGGATGCTTTAATTACTGGAATTAATTATGATGTTTCGCA